AACCTTCTATATTGAGAGGTCAAGGCAATCAGAGATCATTCAACCTTTACATTTAGAGTTTGTAAATTCCTGCATCTTACCTATTGTTCTATGTCTCAGTCTTTCACGAGACAGTGAAAAAATAATTGTCATGTTGAGAACGGCATTGAAGACTGCCAGTAGGGGCGGTGGTGTGCCTTTAAGTCAACTCTTTACCGCAGTAGTCGACGGAAACCTGAACCAATAAGAGAAATGGTCGACAGACATATCACCTGACGCTTAAAACCTTGTAGCGGTAAATAATTCCCCAAAATTATTGACCACAGCAATCACTCATTGGATGCTGACCACCACTGTTTAAGTCGACTTGTTTAGCTGAAGGCTCCCGGTCGAGCATCCCCGCCATTCGGTGCCCCGTCGTGTCACGTGCACGATCACTAGCCAGCTAAGCGTTCGTCTGACGGCTTGTTTTGGTCCCGAAATATATCACGTAGTTTGGACGATCAAATATTGGCTTTTGCTCTGTTGTTGGTACGCGAGAATAATTTAGAGGCTGTGTAAGAGAATTTTGTCAACCCTCTAAACTGGTGAGCCCAACCGCGAACTTAACCCACGATAAATCCGCAGATAACCCTGGTGAGTTCGTTCAATTTTGTATTTGTTCTTGTACCATATATTATTCGACATAATTTTCGTCATGAGTGATCTTAGTCCCAAGGTCATTCGTATTCGCTCAACTCCTAAAACCATTAAGTTGTACCATACTGGCCTGATAATGCTGAAACGTGGTTTCAGCTAGCTGAAGCAGATTTTTGTGAGCATGGGATAATAATAATATATATTTCTTCCTGTTTATGCAGGAACATACCAATTCTACAGACATGGATAGGTTATTATATAAATTACACATAATTTGATGTATGGTGAATTTGCAGTTTGGTTGTTCTTTCTGACATTAGAGTCAGTCGGAATAGTCTGCTATAAAGTCTGTTTGTGTAGCACTGTGCGTCGGTGGTGCAGTGGTTAGGACTCTCGCCGACCATGCACATGGTCCGGGGTTCGAGCCCACGCCGGCGCACACCTGATATCTGTGGTCGACCTGCAAAATTCGGGCTACCGATATCCATGCTGAAAATTCCATACTTGTACCAAAAATACAGTGTGGAATCAAGCTGTAAATCAAAAAAAATCAAAAAATAAAAAAACCAGACATTAGATGAATGTAATACGGATATCTGGGAAAAATAAAGCTTGAAGTCCATTCTCCTATATAACTTTGTTGTGAACAGCACCCTTGGCTTAAAGATTATTGATGTATTATGTTGAGATCAGTGATATATTTATTCCATTTTTCAGCAGTCTTATCGTAGTTTTATAACAGGAAAGAAATTTGATCGTGGATGCGAAAACTAGATAAGGTCATGTTGGGTTGTTTTACTGCATCAAATGGTGCCGAGGTCGGTTCCAGAATTCTCCATTTGCTCCATTTGTGTCTGCGTGGCGGACTGTATTCGTAAGTTGAGTAAAATGTTGAAAACTGTTTGAAAACCAGTTGCTTCTTCATTTCAGATCATGAATACTCATTTACAGCATGTTCGCCAGCGTCTTCAAATGGTAGAATGGGAACGTTCATGGAATTTGAGTGATTATGAGATAAATGGTTTGGAATTAATCTTCATTTCAGTTTAGATGCAGGGTTGTTCGACCTCGACCAGAAGATGAATAGGAGCAGCAGAATACCAGAAAGAGAAAGTATGTGAACATGAAAAGGACATTTAATATTTCATGCATATATTGATGTTTATGTCAATTGTATGTTATACTTTAGCAAATCTTTCCCCAAATTTTAGTTGTGTTTTCACGTATTTATGCGAAGTCTTAGAGTTTATTTAGTGTCATAATGTGTATTAATGAGTCTGAGCGTTTTAGTGTTCTAATGACTGGTGCGTTTTAGAAGTAAGTAATGGGTTCTGGTAGGGATAGTCTTTGGGATAAAACAGTTTATACAGCAAGCGTTTGAAGGTTACAGTAAAGTGGCACGTCCTATTTCTAAGGGTAAACTAATCCTGTACGTTCCGTACTCAGTCTTTATGCATCCATGCTGCTAGTTTATTTATAGTTTTTAGATTGCTAAGGGTGTTGAAGTGCGTTTTTTAGGTGCTGTAGTAGATTAGTAGTTGATTCGTTCTAGGAGTAAATAGTTTATTAATATAATCAGTAGAGTGAAACAGTCTGTATAGAGAGCGTTTGAAGCTTGTAACCGAAGAGCAAGTTCTGACATCTAGGGGTAGGCTATTCCATATTTTAGAATACATGACTGTGAAGAAGTTTTCACGGAGTGTTGACTTAAAAGAATGAGTTGTCACTGTGGAAGTTTGGTTACGCAGATCGTAAGAACCTTCCTGTGCGAATTGTATGTCCCTGTTACCTGAGTATGATATTTTGTGAAGGACCTTAAAGAAGAATATTAGGTTTATAATAAGTCGCCTTGTCCAAAGTGGGTCGAGTTTTAGGATCATGCACCGTGAGATGTAGTCTTTCTTACAATCGTAGCCAAGCAGTTTTGAGGTAAAATATCGTTGGATACTTTCCATCCTTAGCTTGTCACGTGTGCGAGTGCTGCTTATAATAAATGGACAGTATTCTAGTAGTGGTCTGACACATGTTTTGTACAGAATTAGCTTGGCTTCATTGTCGTGAAAGTTCCTGAGTATGCATCCTAAGAGCATCCTCGATTTTCTAGTCTGTGATGCTACTTGCTCTGAGAATGTCAAGTCACTAGAGTACCTCAGGCCTAGGTCAACGACACTTCGGAGTCTTGTTAGGTTAGCAGATTGGAGCGTTAATTTCAGGTCAATTGAGGGTGCACCGAAGCAGATCCAGCCACATTTGTTCAGATTAAATTGGAGATTCCATAGGGACGACCAAGCAGCCATTTTATCTAATTCCTTCTGCTACACATTCTCGAAGTTCCCTAAGTCATCACGTTGGAATGTATAAGCTACTTTTAGGTCATCTGCAAAGATGAATGGTTTCCCGTGCGTGAAGCAAGCGCATATGTCATTGATGTATAGTGTAAATAGGAGGGGTCCAATGACACTACCTTGTACTACACCAGAAGTGATAGGGCTAGGTTTGGAGGTTGCAGACCCGAGTTTAACTATTTGGGACCTATTGTTAAGGAATGATTTAAGCCATCCTAATAATGGGTCACGTATTCCTAAGGAGTTCAGCTTATTTGTTAGCAGTAAATGGTCAACACGGTCAAATGCCTTAGAAATGTCAAAGTAGATGACAAGTACTAGTTGCCGTCTGTCACGACTGCTGGTTACAAAATTGAAGAAGTCTAGGTGACATGTTAAACATGATCTGGATTTCAGGAATCCATGTTGGTTCGGACTTATAATATTGCAGCTAAGCATATGTTTGATTAAGTTATCTTTGACTAGTCTCTCCATGATTCTAGATGCTATAGGTGTGATATTGATTGGCCGGTAGTTACTGACTTCAGTTTTCGAGCCAGATTTGTGTTTAGGCATAATGAATGTAGTCTTCCATATGTCAGGGTAAGTTTGGGTTTCTAGGGACATTGTGAATATTTTAAGCAGTAGTAGAGGAATGTCAGGGCCACCATATTTATAGAAGTAAGATGATATACCGTCGGTACCGAAACCTTTTGAACTTTTGAGGGTTCTTATAGTTTGGTTAATGTTAGCGTAAGTGAATTGAACAGTGCTAATTTGGTTTGGTGTGAGTGGAGATGGAGTTTGTGCCATTTTAGTAATAGGGTGTATATCGAGTAGCTGGACTGAGGGCTTAAGGTAGTTACCTGCAAACGTTTTGTTGAATAGTTCACATATGTCTGCAGAGTTAGTGCATAGCCTACCTTTGTCTATGAGGAGAGAAATGCTGTGATTTTTGCGATTCATTCGCTTCCTTAAGATTTCTGTGAGTGCATACACTCTAGCAGGACTGGCTACTGCGATGCGTTCTTCCTTTCTCATACGGAAATCTTGAGCTTGTGTGATGGAGCTAAGGGTTTTAAGTATTAGACCTAGAGTGCCAAAGTCGTGGTGTTTGAAGTAACTTGTTGAGAGTTTCTTCAGTTTCTTACGATCCTTTGGTTTTATGAATGACTTTCTGTGTGGGGAAACCTTTAGTGTTTGGAGTGGAATGACAGCATCTAAGCATATGTTTGAGTTATGGTAGAAGATGGTTAGGGCTCTCGATAGGTCATCAGTAGTGAAGTATTCATCCCATTTGGAGGATCTTAGCATCGATTCAACTAAGGCCCAGTTTGCCTTACTATAGTTCCTATATATTACTTGTTGTGAAGTGGAGGTATGAGATGCATTGCTACTCAGCGGAATTGGCAGTGCACACATCACTGTTTTGTGGTCGCTCCCTGGAAACTCAGAACCTACTAGCGTTGAAAGGGGGCTTATATTGTGGCAGAAGATTAAGTCTAGTACGTTGTTACCTCTTGTGGGAGTAGTGACAGTTTGTTTCCAGCCAAGTATATCCAGTGTGCCTAAGAACTTATCAAATTTAGTTGGGCCTGTGGGTATATCCCAGTTGATTTCAGGTAAGTTAAAGTCCCCACATAGGATCTTATGATCGTATTGTAAGTCGGATAATTGCTCCAGAGTATTAATAAGTTGGGTCTCGTAATTACTAAAGGTGCCAGGTGCTCTGTAGGTGCATCCAATTAATGCTGTTACGTTATTTAAGTGTACATTAACCCATAGAGTCTCAGGCATGTTAAGTGTACTACTTTCTAGCTGTGATACAGTAAGTGCATTCAGAAAGTACATGAGACAACCCCCTCCCTTACCACCTTCCCTGTCACACCGAAAGTGTGTGTAGTTATCTAAGCTTATTTCTTCATCCAGGATGTTCGAATGACACCAAGATTCAGTGATGACAATTACAGGGGGTTTGTATATTACTGTGAGTGCTCTGAGCATCGGCAATTTATTTAGAACAGATCTAGCATTTATGAGGATTAGGTAAAGATGAGAGTTGAAGTAGCATTTGAAGTATTTAAGTTCGTTAGTCAGCCCCGAATATGGTTCAGCACCCAGTAGTTCTGCTTGACATGACGATCCTATGTTAAGAGGAGTTTCAGCATCATGCTCACCTATGTCTATCGAGTTGGTGTGTGCTGTTTTCGGTGAAGAATTAGGAGTTGGAGTACTGGATTTGCTATAGACTAAGGAATTTTTATTTTTAGTTAGGTTACAGAAGTGGGTAGGGTTCTTTATTTGGCCTATACTTGTGCAAGTGTCAAGTGTGTCCAATGGATACGGGTGCACTAGACCGTTCCTGTTTTCATGCAAGGAGGGAGCCAGCACTAGTGGTTTAGGAGTGTTAACATCCCTACCAGCTGTTTTTTCAACGCTGACAGGGACGCGGGGGATAAAAAATGATTGGATCCTTGTGATGACCATGGCTTATTATTCCACCTATTGTTTGATGCTAGTTGTGTCCTTGTGTGGGTTTCGTGTGTACTGCATTGTGGGTTAGTTCCCAGCAGACTTGTACCATATATCCGGTCAAAATTTGTTTGTGTGCCATACTCTGAAGACCCTGAGTTGTTGGTAGCCGAGTTCTGACTATTACCACTTGTACTATTGAGGGTGACATTGTTGTGACATTGGATATTAGTGTGTGCCATGGTGCGATTTAGCACGTTGTGAGTGCTAATACTATTAACCGTGGGGAGTGTGGGCTTATTTAAGCTGCCACTGTTTTTGTTGGTATGATTTAGGGGCATATTTTCCTTATCTTTACCAATGGAATTATAGCTAGGAGAGGACAAAGTCGAATTTCGGGGGGTTTTGACTTTTTTTCTGGGGTTATTTAGTGGCATTTTAGATTCTGCGGTGATGGGTGGTATGGTTTTATTATTTATTTGGTTACAGTCTAGTGGCCTTTCGGCTGGTGTTGCACTCTGATGGGATATTTCTGTGTGTTTTGAGAGAGGTGATGTGGTAGGGTCTACTGTATCTTTCACAGGGTTGGGAATAATGGCTGCTTGCAATGTCCTATTACCTATTTCACAATTAGTCTTAGCGAGATAATTGTATGCGCGCCTTTCTATGACTGTTTTGTCCACCCCGACCTTTATATGTTTGTAGTTTCTGGCTTGCGATAGGGTGTGTTGGGAGTGGATGAATTTTCTGGTCTCTGCCGGTGTTTCGAACTGAAAACGAATAGGACAACACTTTTCATGTTGACTCTTCTTCAGCCTATAGCACTTAGTCTTGGAGTTAGGCATTTTCGCTTCACTAAGTAAGATGCGCTGTACCTTTTTTAGTGCCTCATTGTCCGGAACGTTGTAGACAATAGCACTCAGTTTTGCGTCGAGTCGTTTTGTTACTTCTGTGGTAACAAAATTAATAAGGTTATCTACCTTAGTTACCGATTCTGTGTCAAGCTTGTTAAGGTTTACCGTTTTCATGAGGATAGTTAGAGGTGTCAGTTCACAGACCTGCGATCTGATATCGCTGATCTGATCTGATAATTTGGATATCTCGGTATTGGTTTCGATGTTTCCAGCATTTACTGACTTACTGTTTTTTATTTCCCTTAACTCAGCCTTAAGTTCTCCTATAGACAACTTTAGAAGTTCTATTTCTGAAGATAGTACTGAAAAAGAGCTTGATGGCTGGAGTTTCTCCATAAGCACATAAGGTGAAGGGAGGAGTTCTGTATGAGCAGAGGGTACCGAATTTTTAGGAGTAGTGCTAATACTGGCTGTCAGTACAGTTTTATCCTCAGTTTCAGCTCGACGCTTACGGCATACACGTGAGTTATGTGACTCACTATAGCCGTTTGTAGGGGTGTGTTGCTTGATGTAGCAATCAAGGACGTTAAATTAGACACCAGTTTTACAGGGGATTGGGTTCGTTGCTTTTTACTTTGATTAACCATAACTATTAGAAATGAGAGTTAGTGGTTACAAGTATGGAAGTGGTATAGTACTTGTGCAAGTACTACAACAAGATAAATTTTATGTAACGAATCACGTAAAAATGTAACGCAAACGTTGAACGTACCGCGATACAGGATAACCGATCACCGTTCGCAGTTACTTGCAGTTATTCACGCCCTACCGCGGGAATTCAGCAAGTACGTAACTTCACAGATGTTGAGTCCCGAGGTAAATAACTCGTACCAGTTGCTCAAAGCATCCCTCCTAAGGAGAAACGTTCTCACGGACCGATAACGTCTGGATGAATTATTTCGTGACATCGAGTTAGGAGATCAGTCAGCCGTGAGCATGCTGACAAGAATGAGAGAGGTTGTTAGCCAAATTCAGTTCGACGAAGGACTATTTAGAGAACTCTTCTTATCCAAGTTGCAACAGCCTGTACAGACCGTACTTGTGACACTTCAGGGTGCTGTTATAGATTACTTAGCTATTTCTGCAGATAGGATTCTAGAAATAACTAAACGGTCTGTTGCCGAAATATGCTCGATGACTAAGCAGACTTCGAGTAAGGATCCTGCAATGATAGAGTTGTGCAACTCCATCCAGCAGATGTTTAGGTCAAACATGCATTCTAACTCCTCCGAGCGTCGTCCTAAATCTCCTCAACGCAGAAACTCACGTGGTCGATCTAAGTCAAAACCACGTTCTCTGCAAAACCCCGACTGTTGCTGGTACCACAACACATATGGCCAAGAAGCGAAGTTTTGCCGTAAGCCTTGTAACTTCGGAAATGTCTCAAAGTCTGTGGGAAACTATCCCGCCGGCACGCGTTAGCGGCAACCGTCGCCGGTGGCACTAGCCTCCTACTTTACATCCATGATGTGATAAGCCAGACTCGATATTTAGTCGACACAGGTGCCGAAGTCAGCGTCCTTCCTGCTACAGCAGCAGATCAACAGAAGGAACCTACCTTCAACTTACAGGCTGCAAATTGAAAACCAATCGCAACCTTTGGTAGGAAATACATCTATCTGAACGTAGGTTTACGCAAACCTATTCGATGGATTTTCCTTCTCGCTGACGTCACAACGCCCATCATTGGCACGGGCCAACTTAATCATCATGATTTATTCCTAAACGTCCGCCGAAAACGACTGATTGACAATACTACTAGTCTGTCTATCAAAGGCATCAGCTACACAGGACCTGGCTTGTCACCCGTTAAGATTAAGGCAATTCTTGATCCAACTTTTCAAGCTATTGTTGACAAGTATCCGGAACTTAATTTCCCGTCGAACGACCTTTCGTGCATAACCAGCACTTGGACTTGGCATTTGAAAGGTTACGCCAACATGGTGTTACCATTAATATTCAAAAGTGTCAAATCGGTGTTGACTCACTCGACTTCCTCGGTCACACTATTGACTGCAAGGGCATTCGCCCACTGGTTACTAAGGTCGAGGCTATATTGAACTTTCCAGAGCCACAAACGTTGAAAAGTCTCCGCACTTTTAATGGCTTGGTAAGTTATTATCGACGATTTATTCCCAACTGTGCCTCTTTAATTCAGCCATTAACAGACCTCCTTCGGGGGAATAACAAGTCCATAGAACTTGACGCGTCTGCTCGAAATGCCTTTACCCAGGTTAAAAAAGCTATTGCGAATGCCACACTTCTGATGTATCAGGATCCAACGGCACCGTTAAGTATCTCGGTTGATGCATCAAACACTGCAATCGGCGCAGTTCTACAACAGCTAGTTGACAATGAGTGGCAACCACTCGCATTTTTCTCCAGGCGCCTTCAATTAGCTGAAAAGAAAGTACAGCACATTCGGCAGAGAACTTCTGGCTATGTACTGTGCTATACGACATTTTAGACATTCGGTAGAGGGTCGTGAATTCATAATATTTACTGATCACAAACCTCTGACGTACTCTCTGAACTCATCTTCAGGTAAGTATTCACCTAGGGAATCACGACAACTGGATTACGTCTCACAGTTTACATCAGATATTCGCCATGTATCCGGAGTAAACAAACCTCTGGCAGATGCCTTGTCGCGCGTTTGTTCCCTCACCCAAATCGACGGCATAGACCTTGTAAAACAGGCTTTCTTCAAAAATAAGATACCGAGCTTCAACATGAGTTGTCGAAAACAACTCTACAATTAGCTGGAAACCCTTAGGTATGGGAAGAGATACTACTCTATGTGACATTTCCACGAGTACACCTCGCTCCATCGTGCCTAAAAGTTATCGCCGTAACGTCTTCAATAGTTTGCATGGCTTATCTCATCCAGGTATTCGAACTAATGAAAAGCTCGTTGTCAGCCACGTCTCGTAAACCGATAATGCCCAGCTCTCGCTACGCTGGGCCTCACGCTGTCGCTTGAAGTTTCTCAGAAACGCTTAGTACGAACTGACGCTAAAAACAGAACCCAGTTTGGCGACCCGAGAATTCTTTTTGCTAACATCAACATATAGCAAACCTCACAACTAAGGTCTATGAAAAAATATTACAATAATGAATCACAATATTACTTCTGACGGTTTTCTCCTGACTTCTTTCTGAACAGCGACCGATGAGACGATGACTGTCGTATTGATGCCTCCGCGAAAATTGGGGAAGTTGATTTTAAGCAAACAACCAAGAATTGATCGTTCAATCTTCAACTACACTGACACTCCCCGGCAAAATACGGATCCATCCCTTTTTTCCATCACGACCAATACACGTTGACTTGGATGCCATTGCGAGAACCTGGGTCACACGGACAGAGCTGAAATGGAAAACAAAGAGAAAAGCCAACACACCACAAGCATACCCACAGGACAATCTCACACATCGATGACGACCTGCGCCTCCAGACAGAGACCTCCTCTTGACATCTTGCAACAAAATCGCCACTTGCTAGAATGACTCTTGCAGAATGCAACGTGACCATGGCAGCACCTCACGATACTCTACGCTCATCCTCTTATCTACTCACTACCAATTACCACTGTAATCACTTGTCACTCATTCACTGGTTAGCCAGTGAACGGCTCATATTTCAGTAGGTTATGTGACCTTACATGATTAAAAGCTATTTCAGGAAGAGGAGGACGTCCTGCAGAACTTCCAAATCGTTATAAAATATGGTTATGGATAATACATTCTTGGAGGTACATTTACAAGATACATACAAGGAGGAGTTGGAGACTTCTTCGAATGATGGTATACATATGCAATGTATAATGATAACCATACTGGTCTACGCATGGAATCATTTCGAAAGCTGACACACGAACAATCCAGGAGGCAGCAAATCTAGGCAAACGATCAGTCGATACAAACGGAATTGTAGAGGAAGCTTGGGGAGTTGACGAATGCACCAGATTGCCCTACTTCAACTCTTTTACCTTGGTCTACCCCTCGAAAGCTATTTCACAAACCACCTTCGATTGGTAGTGAATTAAGGATGTCATGAAGAAAGCGAGGGAACTCATGGGACAGAAAGGGAGGAGTTTAGGATGGATTTCCGCCAAATTCGGGATATTCGCAAGTGCATAATTGGCAAAAGTTGTACATTATCTAAAAAAAAGCCCGTGTACTGAATAAGGGAGTAGAATCAGTAATGGTACACAGTCACTTATAAGCATTACCGGAGAGGTAACCGAGTCAGAGGATGAAAAGGCTGTAAAGCCTTGTGAATAATTTTGTGGTATCTTGTCGTTTGACCGCACTGCCGAGGGGTATAGAGGGGTCACTGCCACCACTAAACTGCCCTCAAT